TTCTAAAAATGACCTTTTCTGCAAAGATAATTCATTAGGTTCAGATAATCTCTCTAGATTGAGATAATCTTTCTTGTCCAACTCCCTTTGAGATATGGACATTGGGAACATTTACCACAGAGTGAGTTTATGAACTTCCAAGTTAACAGGTCTCATTTATCACCATGTGACCTCACCTCATTCTTCCACAAAAGAATAAAAAATGAAAAACACTACCAAAACCCCCAATTTCAGCCTAAAGTGCTGCTTGTACAGCAAGAATCAAAACACTCGAAAATGCTCAAGGTGCACAAGTCACTGAGCATAAAAGGAAAATAAAGAGCAATTCCAAACCTCTGCCAACAGAATCTCCGAAACTATCAGTTTTCTGTGCTGCCTCCTAATAAAAAAACCCTCTGGAGCTGTACTCACCCAGCACACTGCACCACCTGGGTGGCAACTCCAAAAAATAGGAAATGCAGTAATTACAGCCTTCAGCACCTCATTGACTCTCCAGAGTAAGAAATTTTACAGCAAGGACCAGTCCCATGAGAGGGGACTCTCAGATGTGACTTTTTGGCACAATAAATCCACCAATTTATTGAAGTTCTGACACTGATACATGAAAATTTCTTCAACTTTGAGAGACTGCAGTGTATCCACACTTTAAAAGTTTATTTTAAAACAAGTCGTCTGACAGTTCACCACAGATCTGAATCCTAATAAATGGCTTTTAGAAATAATCCAAAACCAATTCAAACCAGGAACTGCTTCTATCTGCACCAGCTTTGTTACTAAGAACTGCTGAGAGACCCTGAAGTAGGTATAGAGAAAATAAAACAGTTTATGTAAATAAGGATGAAAATCATACTTAAATATAACAACACTTTGTATGTTTCAGCATCGAAAAGAAAAACACCTTTCTCCCACATCCAGTAACGCAACTTTCACGTAACAACCACTTTAATTTTTAAATGATGCATTTCTACGGCTGTAAATCAGAGCAGACACATAAAGCACTTCAGAAACTCGCAACAAACGCCCAACCTGCCAGAGGAGCAGCACCAAGAGGGGCTTTTCCATCTCTATCGCCGGATTCTATTTGAGGCACCATCACGAAGATTTTGCCAGCGGCGGTTCCCTTACCTGGGTTGCTCTGCAGCTCCGTCCCGAGGGCTCCCGAGAGCACTTCCTCGATCTTCTGCACCATCTGATCGCCAGCACAGCTCCCGGCAGCTCCAGAGGCGTCGGAAGGCTGGGCTGGCTCTGCCGGGGCCGTGTCCCCGTTGGGCTGGGCTTCCACATTCCCACTGCCGGGAGAAACGGCAGCTCAGTACGGGCCATTTGGAGCCGCTTTTTGTAACTCGCACACGTTTATCACACCCAGCCCCTCAAAGCAGTGCTCCAGCCTCCCGGAGAAGCTCCGCTTTTGGATTAACTCTCCCTGATCCACCCCGGGCACGCTGCGAGTGCACAAGGATGGTGAAAACCACGTCTACAATGTGCCACATCCCCCGAGCTCGTACGACCTTGCAGGGCCTCCCTCCATCACACAAATACCCACATCTCGCTCTCCTCCAGCTTTTCCTCGCTCTTCCCAAGCTTTTCCTTGTTTCACGCGATAAACCCGGCGAGCTCAGCCGCAAGTGGGACAAACC